ATAAAGTGGGTAATAATTTTTGAAGAATTTCCTAAGTTTGGCAATAGATGTGTAAGTGAAATTTTGAGGATTTGTGGGTATATATGTGTTCAATATATGCTGTGAGTTTGAGCTTGATCAAAAAGTTGGATCAAGGATTATTGAGGTTTTAGTGGGTTGGGGTCTCAAGAAGTAGAATTTTAGATTTTATGAGGATTTCTAAGATTTACTGCAATCTATCAATTGAATTAGAGTAAAAGTTATGTTAGGTAGTAGAATTATTTCCCTACATGTATGAGAAATTTGCAATCAATCAAATGGTTTAATAAGGAGATATTGATGCTAAAAATTCAACATTGAAAATGGAAATGGAAGCCGGCCAACATTTGAGCAAATATTAGGGTTGATCTTCTTTTTGATGAATTCGATCTTCTTCAAAAATTTTATGCTTGTTGTCAAATTAATTATTAAGAGGTGTGAAAATTTTGAGTTAATATCAATGGTCCATTCATTAATTATTCAAGTTTAAATCTGCTATAGGAATTTCATGGAATTATTTAGAGTTTGATTAGGATATGTTTAGAATTTGGTTAGGATTTATTTAGAGTTTGGTTAGGATTCTTTTAGGATTTGTTTAGCATTTAATTAGGATTTATTTAGGATTTATTGAAGAGTTTATTAAGGGATTGTTTAGGATTTGGTTAGGACTTAGTTAGGATTTGTTTAGAGTTTGGTTAAGATTTGGTTAGGATTTCTTTAGAATTTACTTAGGATTTATTTAGGATTTTTTTAGGATTTATTTAAGAATTTATTTAGAGATTATTTAGGATTTAGTTAAGACTTGGTTAGGATATATTTAGGATTTGGTTAGGATTTGGTTAGGATTTGGTTAGGATTTGTTTAGGATTTATTTATAATTTGGTTAGGATTTGTTTAGGTATTGTTAAGGATTTGGTAAAGGTTTATTTAGGATTTATTTAGGATTTATTTAGGACTTAATAAAGATTTATTTAGGATTCATTTAAGAATTAATTTAGAAATTTTTTGGATTTGGTTAAGACTTGGTTAGGATTTGGTTAGGATTTGATTAGAATTTGATGAAGATTTATTTAGAATTAATTTAGGATTTATTTAGGATTTATTTAGGATTTGATTAGAATTTAATTAGGATTTTTTTAGAGTTTGTTTAGGATTTGATTAAGATTTTTCTAGGATTTGATTAGGATTTGATTAATATTTTACTAAGATTTGACTAGAATTTTATTAGGTTTTAATTAAATTTTTTATTTTAATATTTTATTAATATTTTTATTTTAGTATATTTTTGAACTCTATATTATTTCTTTATAATTTCTTTAAAGATTCTTTAAGAATACTTTGTATTTTTTACATAATTTATTTGAAATTTTGATTGAATTTGATTGATATTTGATTATATTTGTTAATCTTTAATTATAATTTGTTTAAGAATTTATTAGAGTTGAAAGGACTTATTGTTAGAAATTTCCTTTTGTCTTCCACAACCAGGTGCCTAGTACATTCTTAAGCCAAATGCCACATAATATGACAACATCAAATCTTTCCTTGCTTAGTGAAGTATTTAAAATGTATTATATCAATTTGTATTAGTTTTCGCCTTCATATATAAGTTTTTGAAAATTTGGAAGCTATCGTCATTACTTGGCTTGTTCTTTTCTAGCCAAATCTTTGTTCTTCACACCATTTAAATATTAGATTGTCGCATGTAATGGCTTTAGTAATAATTTATTTTCAAGATTCTAATTTTGGCATTATCAATAATAAATCTTTGATGTTATCTTTCAATCCATATTAAAATTGATTGATGAGGACTTTGTTCTTTTAATCCACATTATAAGCAAGGTTTTAGAATTTAATAGCATATACAATCTTAATCTTTGTCATAAAGATAAGAACTGGGTCTTTACTACACTTTCTTGATCACTATCGTCAAATATAGCTATAAATACGTTTGAGAATGAATTCAAATCATAAAAAAGTCGTGAATTTTTTTCCATTAATGATGCAAATCAAGAGTGAGCATTTTCTAATAGAAGTGCACTTATGAGTCCAACTTAGATATATTCATTAGGATATTGGAAGAAATGTAATCTTACATAGAGCTTCACTTGTTGCAGAAATCCTCAAAGTTTTGATCTCATTCCATCAAACTTATTCGACATACTAATTTGTATCTTTGTGATACTTATAGAAGCAATACTTCTTAGATTTGATTGTGAAGTTGATCTACTTGCTTCTTTAAACCATACAATTTCTTGACATAGATTTCGAACCTCATTCATAGTCATAGAATTAATATTTCACAAGGAATGATAATCTATTCTCTTCAAAGAGAAAAGATTAGTATTGGAAAACTCAATAGTTTTTTTAAGGATGGATAATGCACAATCTTCAAAATACAACAATAGAAGTGGAATAATTCACTCACTTCTAAAATAAGATAAATATAATAAATTAGTAATCTATCAAACTATCAAGGATATACACATCAAAGAATTAAACTATCAATATATGCTTGTGACACTCAAAAAGACTAAAAAATCTTTCAAAGATAATATAGAATTAAACTAAAATGGCTATTGCCAAAGATAAGAAGACTATAAAGTCTTGAAATAAGACTAAGGACTAAAAAGGCATTGACAAGAGTGAGGAAGGCTTACATCTTGCATCTATATATACTCTCAACTAAGAGCTACATGGAGATATCATATTTGACCTTTAAAACATGTTGACTTTGTAAGACAAGTAGCTTAACTTGCAAAGCAAGTTTTTCATATATATTACACATAGTCAACTTGTTTTGTAAGCTATCAATACATGGATAACTTATTAACTAAGTTTCTATCCTATTAATCAATTGTGAACATATATAAAGTAAAAGTTGCATCTATAAAACTTTTAAGAAGCTTTCTTAGGAAATATGATCAAATAAATCTACTTTTATCTACTATTTAATCATATAGATAAATATCATAGTAAATATGTATATTTGTAACAATTGCACATGATTCCAACATCATAGTTCTTATTATAACTGAAAAAATATATTTTTTGATCCATTGTCATTTTTGGCAATTATACTTCTCATTTTGTAATTATATTATTTCTTTAGACAATGTTGAGTTATATGCTTAGCTTCTCCACAATATAAGTATAAATCTTTTTAACAACTTTAAGTCTTTTTTTACTTTGTGAGGAGTTTAATAGATATCATATCAATTTGTATTACTTTCGGCCTTGATAAATAAATTTTGAAAAACTTTGGAGTTGTTATTACTTGAATTGGTTTTCTTAAGCCAAATCTTTTTTCTTGATGCCTTTTAAATAATCAAGTGTCACATATAATGGATTAAGCAATAAATTGTTTCAAAGATTTTGCTTTTGGCATTGTCATTATAGTCCATGTTGCAAACAAGGTTTTGGAATTTAATAGCATATATGGTGGCTAATTGTGATTTTTATCATAAAAATAAGAGCTTGGTCTTTGCTATTCTTTCTTGACCACTTTCTCTGAATGTGGTCATAAACACTTTTAGAAATGAATTCAAATCATAAAGGATTTATAAATCTTTTTCCATTAAAGAAGCAAACCAAGAGAAAATACTTCCAGATAGAAGTGCACCTATGAATCCAACTTAAGTAAATTCATTAGGATATGTAGAACAAATGTAACTTTATATAGACCTTGATTTATTACAAAAATCTTTGAAATTTTGATCTTATTCCATCAAACTTCTAGGGCATACCAACCCTTGTCTCTATTATACTGGTAGAAGCAAAACATCATGAATTTGGATATGAGGTCAATTTACTTATTTTCTTCAACAGCACAACTTTTTAATATAGACTTTAAACTTCTTCTATGAGCATAAGATTAGTGTTTATGTAATTAGCACTAACAATGCTTAAAATTTCTATCCTAAGAGTGTTGATAAGATCATAAAGATCTACAATAGTTGCAAATCTATTCTCACTTTTATAAAATATAGCATCCATGATTTTTTCTTAAATTTCAAATAACTTAATTAATAGATAAGTGAAATTAAAAGAAAGTAATTTACTCTCTTTTAGAAAAAAAACCAATGTTAGATTTTATTTATTTTTTTTTTTTTTTCAAAGATAAGTAATCTACATCCTTCAAATAAATATGTATATCTGTGACACTTAGTGGCATTCTAAATACATTGGCTTATTATAAAGCTATTGGAATGTAATTGACTTTTATGTCTCCAACAATTATTTTCGCTCAAATAAAATGATGTTTGAGTTTTATATGATTTATGTATACATGAAGAACTACATTGTAAACTAACTAGATGCAATTTGGGTTGTTGCTTTGTAACAATGTGGATTGTTCGTCATTCATTTTTAGTTTTGTGGATAAGCACCTTAGATGCACGATGTTCATAGCTACTTCTGTAAAGTTTAGGTTTATAAAATTAGTATCTACATAGGAGGTTAAAGGTTTTGCATCTCCATATTTATAGAATAAAGCATAATTGAAAGTCCCCTTAATATATCAAAATATGTTTCTTAAAACTTTTATATTAGTTTCTTGTAGTCAAGTGAGATACTTACTGAAACATCCTATTGCAAATATCAAGTAAAGCCTTATATTTTTGGCTCAAGTTAAGCTGCCAGTTATGCTTTTGTGTAACTTAAGAATGATGAAAAGAGAATTCATCTCTGCTTGAAATTGAATACTTGAACTCATCAAAAGTTTGAACAGATTTTAGTTTTTCATATCATATTTCTTTAGAAGACACAATAGATAACCACATTAGTGAACAAAAACACCTTAGTCTAAGTACACTAATCCTACTCCTAGATAAAGTACAATCCTTCCAAAACAAAGACATTTCAAATTCTACTTTGAACATAAACTTCACTTTGTCAATTTCACGCTGATTGTCTCTGCTGACAAATAAGTCATCCACAAAGAGTAGAAACACTGTATAACTCTTGAGCATAAGTAAAAAATGGAGGTTTGAATTAGAGGTGCTCCCTTCTAGAATCAGATTTCTTCTGAGATAAGCATATATGTCACTATTTTAAACAAAAGGAGCTTGGTGCAGCCCGTATAGGGCATGTTTCAACCGAGCGACCTTCAATTTTGCAAATAACAGGTACATGAGCAATTGTATTATATAAAAATCATAAACTGAATAAAAAACTCAGGCTGGAAATGAACACACTCTCATCGTATTCGGCAACACTATTTGTGAGGGAGGATGAACGAGAGTCAGTCATTCTGTTGTCCTAGATTACTCCTCCACATTCGTTCCTTCTCTCCAGAGCACTGAGCCCTGTTTGGACTGGGACACTGCACGATACACTCTATGATCCTCCAAAATCATTCCTGCAGCATCAATCAAGCTGCAATCATTCCTGATACAAGCATTAGACTCTTCTCCAAAGTATCGATGCATTGCTGCAACCGGACGCGACGGCAGATGATTTTCGAGTCTTGCTGCATGAGAGTCCCTAACTCTTCCGGGGACGAGAACGCTTGCATCATCGTTAGCTCCTGAAGGCGATTTACTATCGTCCTCTGCAGTGCGTTGCGGATTTCCAAGGGTATCTCGTCTGCGAGGCGTTCGTGCATAATTTTCGAATACGCTGCAATGCGGACCTTCATTTCCCATGCCTCTCGGTACCACCCTGTCGCAGGTACTGCTTCGTTAAGAATAAGCCCTTCACGGATACGTCCAACATCTAGTTCGATATATGCTTGGTTTGAGCGCCGAGCTGTTTCCACAGCAGAATTTATCTTCGCGATAGTGTCCAAGTAGGAGGCATTCGTTGTGAAGATGACCGTTCTCTCTTTGGCCAACATTCTCTCGACGAACTCCACAGTTGTCGTTTTGGTCTCATTCAGGACTTGGATTGCAAGCTTGTGGTGCCTGTCCCTCAAGTGAGGGTAGGCTTCAAATATAAGACTTTGAACATGTAGCACAACTTCGGCGGCATATTTGAACACTCGGTCCACGAGGAATATGCACGTCTGGGTGATGCTATCGATCTGTTTCTTCACCAACTGGTGCAAGACCGTGTGAGGCAGGAAGTCGGGAAGGGCCACTCCCTGATGCTCCGAGAACATCTGCCTAATCTCGTCAGTTTGGGATGGCTGGGACAGCCGCAGCCCAGATTTGCCCAGGTCTTCAGCAAATTTCGTGAATTCCTCGTGCAATCTTGCTGTGTAATGAAGAGTACAATCGTCGGGGACCAGACTGAAGTCTCCGTCCCGAACGACCTGAGTGAGCATGTTTAGCATTTCATTTTGCAGTCGTAAGAAGACCGCGACGGCCTCATTAACGCTGTCAATGCTCCTCGGAACATTGCTCATCTCCTGACGCCGCTTCTGGAGCGCTTCGTGTATTTGATCGCGGATGCGAGGTAAGCATCCCCTCACCATGTCCGATTGTATCTTGACGAGCCTTCGCCCAAGGGTGGGAATGCCAACCATGCTTCGGTCTATGTTTCTGAGGTCCGGGTGGTCATTAAATAACTCTAACTCTCGACACCTTGCCACAGCTATGCTGTCATCGGCAGGTGTGCGGTTGCGCACGCAAACATAACCGAGACCAATGCTGACGGCATCCGAGGTCACTTTCTCGAACAATCCCTCCGGCGCTTTATCTACCTTCGTGACAACCGCCAGCGTGCGCACGCCCTTTTTGTCCACAGTCTGAGATAGCCGGATGGACTCGCAGGTGGAAAAATCAACCTCGGCTGGGAGGACGTTCAGGATTATGCTCTCCTCGGGTTTTATGTAGTGCATTATCATGTCACGAACCTGCTCGTAAATATTCTCCGGCTGCCCATGAACTGGTACACGTGTAATGCCGGGGAGATCCACCATGGTAAGGTCGGGTGCGTCCGGCTTTCGAATGTGCAGCAAAATCGGAGTGTCTCTGATGTTTTTGTTGCTGCCGGCAAGGTCATCCGTAGCGGCATTGATAGCTGCTTCGATGTCGTCCTCTGAGTTGATTCTCATTTCTTTGACACTTCCGTACTCCATTAGAATTTTGGAATCCTGTTCGGAGAGGCAAGACTGGAGTCGAAGGATGAGAGGCACCCTAGTAGCAATCCCCTGCCCTCGAGGCAGCGTGATACCTGCGAGTGACTCGAGCACGCTGCTCTTCCCGCTGCTTTGATCGCCGACAACCACGATCGTTGGTATGTTCACGTTCTCCTCCGTGATACCTTGCGTTCGGAGTTTGTCCAACACATCTAGTATGGGTCGTATTTCCGAGTGGAATGAATTACGAAGTGCCTCTGGATCGTAACTTTTGATCGGGTTCACGTTGCTCACGCTAGAGACCACCAACATGTTGTTGATCGAGTCATTCATCGTTAATTCTGACTGTTTCGACATGTTCAATGTTTTATATAAATCGGACTTGGAAGGAAACTGGATTATTGCCCATCGGATTAACAAAAGAGAACCACGGTCTGACGTTGTGAAGAACAAAGAACGTCGTTCCAATACGATCACACTACGAAATCGTGGAGGTAAGATAAAATCAGTGCACAGCACAGCAAACCTCCTTAAAAAACTTGCATTGAAGGCTACACAATGACCATCCAATTGTGAGGTGCACAGCTCACGTAAGCTGCCGTTTCTGCGGCGAGGCTTTGCAATTCCAAAACGGAACTGGCATCACAGGGCAGACAGGGCCACTTTCTGCATTTTCTTAGCCAGTTGTGTGCCAAGGCTACCAGAGCTGGAGTAATATCCAAGTCAATCTAGTTGACTACAGCTGCGACGGACACCGCACTTCCAGCCGGGAGAGGACACAAGTTGACATGCGTGAAGACATAAGACATGGCTGAGACCAATAGTTGTTTCTATCCCCTCTGATCATCAGTGGAGCATCTATTTGCTTGAGTTTCCGTGGCCCAGTACTTGTCCAGAAAATATCCACCGCGCAAATAAAAGTGGAGAAATACCCCACCATTGGGGTCGACGAACCACTGGTACTGTGCTACATGCACACAGAGATGAATCAGAATGGGCGACAATGTCTATTCTAGTCTCGGGAAGATGGTGAACCTGATGTCACAAGGCGGTTCTGCAAAGGAAAACCTCGAAATCGCAACCTCGCTGACGGTCAGTGAACTATCGTTGCAGGAGATTTGTTCGCACAAGCCCCTCGCTGCAGATTCTCCAAGGTCTATTAATCTGTTCAACTTGGAAGCAGCTTTCCTTCCAGTCAGCTATCGTCTCGGAGAGAATACGTCGCGAGAGAGAGTCCTAGATGATGAACAAGGAGGTTCAGCGCTAGTCAAATACTACTATGCAAAGGAATATCATTGGCTACGGCCTGAGTGGTGTTCCGAATTGAATTGTTTCCATCGGATGACTTGGTGTTACATGCTGCTCGCTATATGTAGTGGCTCTGAGTGTCCTACCGCAGTTGTGGATCTTATTGCCTTTTACGGTGAAGTTGGGCATTCGTAAAAGGGTGGCTAAAAACTAGAACTATTCGTTTCCATAACAGCTGGATAACACGCAGAAGAGGAAGTGCGTCATACAATTCCTCTCGAATGTACTTCCTCTTCACAAAGGGATGTCTCGAGTTTTTTCTGTTGACTCAATTCGCGCATACCCATCGCACTAACTAATTTTAGTTCTGTACCCATCGTACTAACTAACCAACTAACTAACTAACGCCCTGCTGATTGTGCGGTGTCCGTCGAAGCTGTAGTCAACTAGATTAACTTGGATATTACTCCAGCTCTGGTAGCCTTGGAACACAACTGGCTAAGAAAATGCAGAAAGTGGCCCTGTCTCCCCTTTGATGCAAGTTCCTTTTTGGAATTGCAAAGCCTGGCGGTAGATACGGCAGTGTACTGAATCCACATTGTTGCAAAGCGACAACCAAAACTGCATCAAGTTAGTTCACAATCTAGTTCTTCATGTACACATAAATCATATAAAACTCAAACATCACTTTATTTGAGAGAAAATAATTGTTGGAGACATAAAAGTCAATTACATCCCAATAGCTTTATAATAAGCCAATGTATTTAGAATGCCACTAAGTGTCACAGATATACATATTTATTTGAAGGATGTAGATTACTTATCTTTGAAAAAAAAAAATAAATAAATAAAATCTAACATTGGTTTTTTTTCTAAAAGAGAGTAAATTACTTTCTTTTAATTTCACTTATCTATTAATTAAGTTATTTGAAATTTAAGAAAAAATCATGGATGCTATATTTTATAAAAGTGAGAATAGATTTGCAACTATTGTAGATCTTTATGATCTTATCAACACTCTTAGGATAGAAATTTTAAGCATTGTTAGTGCTAATTACATAAACACTAATCTTATGCTCATAGAAGAAGTTTAAAGTCTATATTAAAAAGTTGTGCTGTTGAAGAAAACAAGTAAATCGACCTCATATCCAAATTCATGATGTTTTGCTTCTACCAGTATAATAGAGACAAGGGTTGGTATGCCCTAGAAGTTTGATGGAATAAGATCAAAATTTCAAAGATTTTTGTAATAAATCAAGGTCTATCTAAAGTTACATTTCTTCTACATATCCTAATGAATTTACTTAAGTTGGATTCATAGGTGCACTTCTATCTGGAAGTATTTTCTCTTGGTTTGCTTCTTTAATGGAAAAAGATTTATAAATCCTTTATGATTTGAATTCATTTCTAAAAGTGTTTATGACCACATTCAGAGAAAGTGGTCAAGAAAGAATAGCAAAGACCAAGCTCTTATTTTTATGATAAAAATCACAATTAGCCACCATATATGCTACTAAATTCCAAAACCTTGTTTGCAACATGGACTAAAATGACAATACCAAAAGCAAAATCTTTGAAACAATTTATTGCTCAATCCATTATATGTGACACTTGATTATTTAAAAGGCATCAAGAACAAAGATTTGGCTTAAGAAAACCAATTCAAGTAATAACAATTTCAAAGTTTTTCAAAATTTATTTATCAAGGCCGAAAGTAATACAAATTGATATGATATCTGTTAAACTCCTCACAAAGTAAAAAAAGACTTAAAGTTGTTAAAAAGATTTATACTTATATTGTGGAGAAGCTAAGCATATAACTCAACATTATCTAAAGAAGCAGTATAATTACAAAATGAGAAGTATAATTGCCAAAAATGACAATGGATCAAAAAATATGTTTTTTCAGTTATAGTAAAAACTATGATGTTGGAATCATGTGCAATTATTACAAATATATATATTTACTATGATATTTATCTATATGATTAAATAATAGATAAAAGTAGATTTATTTCATCATATTTCCTAAGAAAGCTTCTTAAAAGTTTTATAGATACAACTTTTACTTTATATATGTTCATAATTGATTAGTAGGATAGAGACTTAGTTAATAAGTTAACCATGTATTAATAGCTTATAGAACAAGTTAACTATGTACCATAGATATGATAAACTTGCGACAGAAGATTTAGCAAATTGTTTGTCAGAGCTACATACAACAATGAAGATACAATTAAAAGAAGCTCAAGAACTAGAAAAGACCAATGCTGATGTCTATCGCAAGGAACAACCACAATATAATATGGGTGACAAGGTATGGTTACTTAATCATAATATCAAGACTACTCGTCTTTATAATAAATTAGATTATTGTAGGCTGGGACCTTTTTATATTTGTAAACAAAATAATTTTGTTGCCTTTCGATTACATCTATCGGAGTCTATGAAGATCCACCTTCTATTTCACGTGTCTCTTCTGGAGCCATATAAGACAGTGAATATCTTGGGAAGAAGACAAATACCACCTCTTCCTATAGAAGTGGATAATAACCAAGAATTTGAGGTAGAAGAAGTCTTAGACTCAAGGTGGCACCGGAATAGGTTAGAATATCTTGTTCATTGGCATGAATATGATATTAATGAATGCACAAGGGAGCCATCAAAGAATCTTACAAATACTGCAAAGAAAGTTGAAGTTTTTCATCAATGATATCCATCAAAACTAAGATGAAGAATAGCAAACCTTTATTATAAAAGAAATAAGATCAAAAGAAAATAACATTCTACCTTCTATCTTTCATAGTAGCTTCTATGTATTTGTGATGAGATGGAGCACCAACAACTAGTAGATTCAACTCAAGAGCTTTTATTTGTGGACTTACCAAATGAGACATTGCGATTGTCACAACCTACAAGACGACGGAATCAAGATGAAGATCCTCAAGAATGACATATCCTTCCTCGAATAGATGGCGAGATACAACGTGTTTGGTATCACGACCTCGGAAGAGACTCCAGATGTTTAGTGATTTTATAAGAGGTAGGAACAACTTCTGACAGTGTTCTAAATGTTTTATTTGAAGGAAGTTATGAAGGCCTCAACAATGACCAAATAACAAGGTGGTCTTCTCGCCCTGATATAGAACACTATAGATGGTTGAGAGGACCTATCAACCATCTTTGAAGAGAGCAAAGATCGGAGTATGTGGCAAATATAATTTGCCACATCTTGGACTTTTTCAATATATGAAGACCGCTCCACATGGAATTCATTCCTAAAAGGGAGGATAATGTCATGGACATATATATTTACCTCAATAGTTACTTATATGATTAAGTAGAAGTAGATAAATATAGAATAATTTCATAAAGTCTTCTAGAAAAGCTTCTTAGAAGCTTCATAGATGCGGTTTTGAAGTTAGATGTGTTTGTAGGTTAGATACTTGGCCAAAAAGCTAACTATGTATTAGTAGCTTGTAGAATAAGTTATCTCCATGTAGTAGCTTATAGAACAAGCCAACTACGTGATGCATACATAGATAACTTGTCTTGCAAGATATGTGGCTAGCAAAGTCAACACATGTTGAAGGTCCTATAAGACATTGTCATGTAGCTCTTAGTTAGATAGTATATATGGAAGCAAGAGTGAAGCCTTCTTCACTCTTGTCAACGTATTCCTAGTCCTTACTCTTATTCCAAGACTTTCTAGACTTCTTGTCTTTAGCAATGGCCATTCTAGTTCAATAATATATCATTTTTGAATGACTTTCTAGTTCTCTTCAGTGATAGAAGAGTGTATTGAGGATTTTCTTTCTTTGAAATTCATGTCCTTGACACGACAACGTGTAAATCAAGTTTTAGAGCAATATTTGAGGTGTACCATCAATTATCAATAAAATTATTGGATAACTCTTTTGCAATTGATAGACTTTACTTATAATAATATAATACATACTTTTATCCAATAAATATTTTTTTTTATTAATTATAGATATCATCTATAACTTGATGTTCTTGACTTTTTAAAAGTTGATAAATTATAGCAAAAGATTTAAAAAATCATTTATTTAGACTATATACAACAATAAAGGTACAACTAAAAGACACTCAAGTACAACAAAAAAAAAAATGCAAATGCTTATCACAAGGAATAATCTCATTTTTATATTCGTAATAAGATATGCTTACTTAATTATAATATTAAAACTATTTGATCTTATAATAAGTTGAATTCTTGTAGACTTGCATCATTTCTTCTTTAAGCACAAATCAATTCATTCGCTTATCAATTACATCTATTGGAGTCTATGCAAATCCATCCTATATTTAATGTATCTCATTTAAAGCTATATAAGACAATGAATATCCTTGAAAGAAGACATATACCACCGCCTCTTATAGAACTAGATAATAATTAAGAATTTCAAATGGAATAAGTGTTAGACTCAAGGTGTCCCGGACATAATCATGTAAGCTACTAATTACATATATAAATAGGTAGAAGTAAGTTAAAGTAAGTAAAAGTAAGTAAATTCTATAGTATTTAATATGGAAGCTTCCTAGAAGCTTCATAGACGCTGCTTTGACTTCATAGGTATCTTTAATTGACTTTTTGGATTAGAAACGTGGTCAACAAGTTGGCCATGTGCCACACATGTTGTTAGCTTGAAGATCAAGCTAACTATGTGGCCAACACGTAGAAGAACTTGCCTTGTAAGTCAAGGCATGTGTCCTACAAAGTCAACACATATTGAAGGTCCTAAAGAACGTCGCCACATAGCTCCTAGTTAGATAGTATATATAGAGACAAGAATGAAGGCTTCTTCACTCTTGTCAACTTCTTTCTTGCTTCTAGTCTAGTTTCAAGGATCTCTAATTTTCTTATCTTTTGGCAATAGCCATTTCAGTTTCTCTTTCAATATATATCCTTGTTTATATATATTTTATTACCTCTCTTTGACTGAAGGTTCACTTGACTGAATTGCTTTTTCATTGAGTTCTTGTCCCTGACAGATTGACAAGAGTACACCTACAATATCAGAGCTTTGTCTAATCTTGATTAAGAGTGGATTACCCC